TCCTCTTAATAGTGCAGACCTCTGCACACATCTAAGGTATGCCACCGCCTCTCAAGACGATGTGACGGATTGGGACAGAAGTCTGGGAGAACTAAAGAGGGGTCCAATCTTAGGACCACTCTGTCATCCAAAAATAAACACAGGTCGCTCCTGACCGAGAGTGCGGCCATCTCCGAGATACGTCTAGCCGACATGATGGCCACCAGAAAGGCAACCTTTAGCAAAAGAAACCTAAGCGAGCAAGACCAGATGGGTTCGAACGGCGACCCCATGATGGCCTGCAACACCAGAGGTAAGTCCCAGGAGGGATAGCGGTGTACCGCAGGAGGTTTAGTGTTAACAGCCCCCTTCAGAAAGGCGACAACTGCAGGGTGCTGTGATAATGGGACCAAGTTGTCGCACGTGAGGACTGTTGACAAAGCCGCAACCTGCCTGCGGATGGTACTATGCGAAAGACCCTTATTGAGACCTTCCAAGAGGTAGTTTAATATATGAGGAATGGTAACCGCCAACAGAGGAAGGTTCTGTTTTACACACCACATGCAGAAGTTTCTCCATGTGGCATCGTAAATCCGATTGGTCGAGGGTCGCCTCGAGGCTTGTATCATCGAGATGACCCCAGACGAATAGGACTGCCTGGCTAAACTCTCCCGCTCAAGTGCCAAGCGGCTAGTTGGAGCTACTGGGGGTCTGGATGTTGAAGCCTCCCCTGAGAGAGACGCGACCCGATGGAATCCTCCACGGTGGGGAGCGTGACAAATCCACGAGGTCGGCAAACCACGGTCGCCTCGGCCAGTGAGGGACAACTAAGATTATTTCCGCCCGCTCTTAAAGAAGCTTGCGGATGGTCGCTGGTATCAGGGGTAGAGGAGGAAATGCGTAAAGGAGCCCCCTGGGCCACTTGCTGCGGAGGGCATCCATTCCTTCTGCCCCCGGAGAGGGGAACCGCGTGAAAAACCTGGGTAGTTGGGAATTTGTCGAAGAGGCAAACAGATCCACTTGTGGTTGTCCGAACCTGGCCGAGATTTCCCTGAACAGGGCCGGATCCAGGCGCCACTCCGAGTGGACGACAGTGACCCTGCTCAGTGAGTCGGCCTGACAATTCGCCTCCCCAGAGATGTGCTCTGCACTGATAGATTCCAGGTTGGACTCTGCCCACAGACCCAGGTCCAAGGCCTCCAACATGAGAGACCACAATCGGGTCCCTCCCTGTCTGTTGACATGGGCCTTGGCTGCCAGGTTGTCCGTCAATATTAGAACGTGCCTGCCTGCCACGAGGGTGGAGAAATGACGGAGTGCCAGGTGTATCGCCCTGAGTTCTAGCCAATTTATGTTGTGCGATAAATCTGACTGGGACTATTGACCCTGTGCCATATGAGTCTGTAGGTGGGCACCCCAACCGAATAGGCTGGCGTCCGTAGTCAAGGTTAGCCTGGTAGGCTCCTTGAATAGGGAACCCCTGTTCATTGCTGAAGATGTCCACCACACAAGGGACAACAGTGTGTGATGTGGGACTCTTACCTTCCTTGTGGAAACACCCACGTTCCGTTTCTGGAAGGGAAGGAGGAACCACTGGAGCGTTCTGGAATGAAGTCTGGCCCACGGAACAATTCCCAGGCAGGAGACCATCTTCCCCAACAGCTGAGACAGCTGGACCAGTGGAACCACCTTCTCTCTCCGGATCTTGTGAACAAGTGTCCTGATATGGTCAGCTGACTCCATCGCTGACTATAGGGGGCGAAACTTTGGCCCCCTCGGAGAGGGTGCGCAATTTGGGGGTCCTCCTGGATCCACGGCTGACACTGGACGACCAGTTGACGGCTGTGGCCAGGGGGGCGTTTTACCGGGTACGCCTGGTGCACCAGTTGCGGCCTTTTCTGGACCGGGATGCCTTGCGCACAG